CAGGCGACACCGCGCTGGACTACCTGTTCATGACCTACCTGCCCCTGCCCTTCCTTGCGGGCCACTCCCTGCGCCTCGCCCTTCGCTCCCTTCCCGCCCCCCTTCGCGATGCGTACGCCCACCCCCAACCCTCTCTCATCTTCCTCTTCATCTAAGCTCATCCCATCCCCATTCATCTTCTCTTCATCTTTCTTTGTGCTCTTGCATTTGCTGGATGAGGGCAGCATCACCAAGTTGTGTAGAGAGTACTCGTACGAGCTGCGGCCTGACCTGCCCGTGCTCGACAATACGGAGAGGGCCTTTGGCCGCGTAGTGCGCCAGCTGCTTCGCGTCGGCTGGGCCGTGGCTGGCCTCCGCGTCCTCCCCGCCCTCGTCAGCCAGCTCACCGCGCCTTCATCAACCTCATCCCTTCTTTCTACTTCTACTTCTTCTTCTTCTTCGACGTCGTCGCGGCGCCCGCCACCGCAGGGTGCGGCCCAGCCACCACCCGAGTCGGGCCTTGGCCCAGGTACGACCCACTACTCGCAAGTAGCGCGAGCTGCGCTGGGCTGAGCTGAGCTGTCTTTCTTCTGCGTAGGAACGCTGACGGCCTGGGTTACGACGGGCATCATGGCGGCCGGGCAGGGCGTGTGGTCGGGCGACCAGCTCAGCACGACCCTTCTCCGTTACAAGACCGAACACCCGGCCACCTTCGTCCCCTTCCTGGTACTTGTGCTGTGTGTTGTAATTTACGCCATGTTCTTGTGTGTTGTGTGCTGTGTGCTGTGTTGTGTGTTGTGTGTTGTTGTTTGGTCCACTCATGTCACACCCGCGATATTTGCAGTTCCCAGAGCACTTCGACGCAGGGCACCGAGTGCAGGACGCCGTGGAGGGAGCTGCCGAGTGGCTCGGCATCACGAGGCCCTCCAGCAGAAGGTACATTTCTCGCCGCGTGCCATTACCATGCGCCACACCCTGCGGAAGTCACAACACAGTCAGCTGAGCTGCATGCGTGCGTGTGCGGTGGTGTGCGTGTGCAATGCATACATGTGTGATCAACGCGCCAGGCGCGAGAAGTG